GCCAGATGAATCATTGACTAAAGATGTATTCATATTTATCCTGTGCTTTGCAGTCAAATATTGGTTATGATGAGATCTTTGGTTGTCGAATGATGGCACTCCCGGTTCTACAAAAACAAAAACATGCACACCACACAAACATTTAATCCAAAGCCAAAAAACAAGAAACACAAACGAAGAACTGTAAACAACTTTTTGCCACAGGCAGCGACAATAATCTTTTACGTAGCGTTTTGTTCTCGTACTTCAGTTTTTTAGTCATCCCGCTTATACTTGATAAAAAAATAACTGCGAGTGAGTTGATCTAGAAAAGGAGAGAGAGCAAAGATCTTTCAGTGAAAACAAGAGACTGTAGTGTCCAGGGCATCAATAAAACAAAAATAGTCAAATGATCAGGGGAGCAGAATAAACAAACTGGGGTAACCGAATTATCACTAAGACAAGCAGAAGAGATGGAATCCCACTCCATAGATGGTTGTCGAAGTTTCTAAATCTACATTTCATTTAATTTAACTATTGCAATTCAAACGAAAGGTTTTTATAGATGGGTTAGCCAGTTCTTGAAGTTCAGTCTAGGGGGGCCTTTATCAAGTGAAGGACGTTCATTTTAACGTGCCGGCAAATATGACAAAATTTGTAACGAAATAAATCATTCTTCTCGACATAGAAAATTAAAAAACTTTTGGCGGTTCTGTCATGAGTTGTTTATTATCGATTATTAGGTTGTCGGACTCTGGTTATCAGGGACGGTACTTTCTATAGTCTCGTTCTGTTTCATGAAAATGTCAACTTTAAGTTACTTCATGAAGCAGGCATTGAATTAAAGTGAAAAAGCTAGTAAGTTAAATAAAGGAAGAAATCCAAATAAATATAGCTCGTTCTTTGCCCAGACAAAATCAAAATTAATTCATAAAAAAAAATCGAACCGCACACTGTGCAATGAATGGCTCCGCTTTCCTTTGAGGGCAACTACTAGTTCAAGATAACAGAAGATGGTGAGAATGATATTCAGTTCAAAAAATAACTGATATATAAAACTATTTACCTTGCCATATAACAGCCACCTTAGATTCTCTAGAGAAAGTGATGCTATTTTTTCGGACACGAGGAGAACATTTAATCTTTCTTTCTTGTTTTTCTTTTTTTTTAGCGCCCGCAAACGACCTTCAACAACTTGTAAGGCTCTATACAACAAGTGCCCAAAATGAATTGGCGGTGACTAATGTCATGTCAGTCTCTGGTCGTCTACTGAGTCATTAAAAGGCTGTTAGTTCGTTAATGCTTAGTCGTACACCAAAAACAAAATTAATGTGTCTGAATAGTTTTAATCCATTTGAAGGCAGCCTAAAAGCAATGTTAAAACAACCAGCTGTTTTCATAATAACTTTCTTTTTTTAAAACTGTTTTTATAATCCATTTGACTCACAATAAGTTACCTAATAAGATGACAGGAATACCATGATAATAAATTTTCACTTTGAATGCCTGAGGGGAAAAAATTTATAATCTGGTCATCTTAACTATATATTATCGGAGCAGAATTGTGTACTTTTTTCAGTGGTTAGTTTCATCATGGCCACCTTTCTCTACTTACAGGAGCAAACGCGGTGTATATAATGGGAAGATACGTATTATTACATGAAAAATCTATCTACTAGTTGACATTTTTTTGCTTACTGTGAAGACCTTGTACATTTTAGTGGAATTTTCCCGAGAATTTTTCAGAGAAAATAAAAATTGAAAACTTTTCAAGGGTAAAAGAACACTTAAAATGGAAATTCCAATAAAAATTCAAATTCGAATGTCACCCTAGTTAACAGCCGTCTGGAAAATTACCCGTTTCGGTGTAATAAAATCCGCAACTTGAATACGCTGTTGTCAATATACGTTTTTGTCATCTTTAAATAAACAAATTAAGGAAGCTTCTATTATGAGCATTATCGAGCATTTTGGTGACTTTTGAGGCAGACTGGGTACCTTCAGTGGAAAAAAGAAGACGCGACTTGGGTGGAGCATTTGGGAAGACAGGGCACACTGTACAAAAGCCTACCACGGTGGCATAGGAACCTTAGCTTTACTTAGCCTAATCATATCTCATAACTTTTAAACGGATAAACGACAACCCATCAGGTTTTGCGTAAACCAACTGGATTCACAATTTTTTGCTTCTTTTGAAACATCCATGTTGCCATGGCAACGGTCGAAATCTTGCGTTTAGCGTAATAAACGTTATGTTAAATAAATATATTTTGTCCGTGCCAAATTTGAGCTTAATATCGGCAAAGAGTTTTTAAATAACACCGAAATGAATAGTAACGACTCACACTGACCTACCAAGCTGTGTTCAGCCATCTTAACTGACTCTGAAAGTTTCCAGCGTACTGTATATTAAATTATTTTGGCCCAATGGGCCAGATAAGTATCGACCAGGTGGTCAAAAAGGAAGCAATCAACATTTCCTGAGCCACTATGTAGTTTTTTCCTCTACTGAACAAATTTAACCATGGAAAGTTTTCTATAAGAGTTGAAAGAGCCAGCGAGTAGCAGTGAAGAAGACACGAACGCGGCTCATAAAAGGATCTATTCGTCCTTTGGGCAGAATAAGCAGAATAATACACGTGATTGTCAGGAATAAGCTCGAATAGCTCTTGTCTTCTGAAAAATGACTGTGGGAAGTTTTCTTCCTTTCGTTTATAAACCATGCAAGGACTTTCCCAATTTAAACGATTGTTTTCCTATACACGCTTCTTTTCCCATACAATTTCAGTGGAATTATTAAAAGAATTATCTGTTCACCGAGTATTAAGTTATACGAATACGTACTAGTACGCCTTCCACTCTCTTGCAATAACATATCAACAATTCACCTAAACGGACATGGCGGCAAGAGAGAAGTTGATACTCAATGATTGAGTGGAGCAGGCAAAAAAACAGCTACTCTACCTCGTGTTTTATGGAGCAACTCTGCTTCTTATATATTCACAGAAAACACGACGGATATTCAGTTCCTTTCACTGTAAAACAGAAGCTTGCCGAAGGGATATCCCAGTTCATTAGCCCTTCGTCTGAAGTTGCTAACCGATTTAATGTGTTAAGAAGGATCAATACTTTCTTTCTTTTTATCTTTAAATAGCCGTAATTGTTTATTCCTGAAACATGTATGTTTTGACAAAGTAAGGCGATAGGAGGCTGCCGACAGTCACGTTATCTGACGTTAAGTTCTTAAGTCTAGTACTTTTCGCTCTTTGTACAAAAAACGTCTGTTTCAAATTCAGTTAAGCTGGAAATGTTTAACTATATCGGTAACAGTTTGTAAGTCTAACATTCACGTTTCAACAACAATTTTGCTGCACTTCACAGGTCAAAAAATTATTCTCATTATCCCATAATAATCATTTAATCAATTCAGTAGAGCACATTACAAGTTTTACATCAAGCGCGGTGATGAACTTAAAAAGTAAGCTAACCTTATCTCTAGATTGTTGCGCTTGCACACGACTAAACTAGACACAGAGTAGACACAGCAAACCTTTTTGGTGGTCTTTGTTTTGATTAAAGAAAGGAAGTTGTCTCAAGTAATTCCTGTTTTCTTTTTTTTTTCACAAGTGCCACAGGCAGGCTTCCACACGGTAATCACAGCGTTCAAGTTTTACTATCAACAGGAGCACAGAAGCCTCCAAAAATTATAGCTAATGCCCTCCTTAAAACATTCTCGCAAAAAAATTAGCCTGTATATTTCTTTTGCATTTACCCGAACTTTTATTAGATTTTTGTTTAAAGGAGGAAAAAAGAAACAGAAACGCGTAAATTTAGACAAAAAGTTAAGGAGATAGTCATGATATATGACGTCATGGAATGATGGTCAAGCCTTGTTTTCGCTCTTTAATCAAATCTTTTACCTCATCAGTGATGCAGTTTACAAGTCCAGCACTCATTACTTCTATTTACTGTTTGAAGTTTAAGACGGCTGCCATTTTAGCTACAATTTAGCTCCACGTCACTGGTCGAGAAAAATAACATAACTCTTTCAGCTTATTTGCCGTAATCGTCAAATTGTAAATAATATGCATTATATGTTTCCAGCAAACACTGTCAAAAGTTCATGCAAAATCATTCTTGCTTGCAACCCTTTAAGGAAATGTAAATCCTAGGGGATAAATGTCATCGATGCAAAATGAGCCAACCCAGATCAGTAATCATCCAATAAATTAAAAAGGTCAGACGAATTTTTCTGTCGAAAAACTCTTCATGAAAATCATTTCAGTATTAACCCCGTGATTAGTTTTATTAATGAATAACTGTTTCAATTGTCAATTTAAGGCAAAAGACAGTGAAAAAAAACACCATACGAACACCCCGGGGCGTTAAAACTATCCCTTATAAGGGACGGACGATTAGAAAAGTTATTGGGGGGGGGGGGGGGGGGGATTTTTCGCGCCCAGGAATTTTTTTCTCGTTCAAAATTTCCTAAAAAAATTTTTTTTTTTTTTTTTTTTTTCCCTTGCGCAAATTTTTTTTTTGTTCCTCTCCCCCCCCCCCCCACTCTTTTTTCAGTCGCCCTCCACCACCCACTCACTTATCTCGCCTTTCCCCCCCTTTTTTATTAAAAAAATCTCTAAAAAAAATATTTAATTATTAGACCACTGAATAGTATTAATAATGAAAAAATTTTTAAATTTGGAATTTAAGAGAAAAAAAAATGAAAAAAAACACCCAACGAAACCCCCGGGGGGTTAAAAAATTCCCTTTAAAGGGGAGGGGGGGTTAAAAAATTTTGGGGGGGGGGGGGTAGGGGAATTTTCGAGCCCAGGAAATTTTTTCTCGTTCTCAAATTCCTTAAACGAATTTTTTTTTTCATTTAATTTTCCCTTGCGCGAATATTTTTTTTGTACTTCGCCCCCCCCCCCA